CGCCGATGATCCCACCACGCTTCCAGTTCTCCCATCTGCTATTCGGTGACGAATTCTCACGTGACTGTTCTTCCTCCTTTGCTGCAGCCATAGCAGAGCAAGCAACCATTATCTCGACAGCTTCCTACAATGCCAAGATACCCAATCACAAAACCGTACTGGATGCAATGCAAGAATATATGTAGCGTATGCAATCTCGTAGCTAGCGATGCTGGATGTATGGCGCAATGGACGACGAACCATCTTGTTCCAGGTGACGTCGAGCCAGGTGGCGAGCAGCCGGAGCGCGACGCGGTGGCGGGCGTCGTAGCCCTTGGTGACGCGCGGGGACCCCATGCCCTCCTCGGCCATGTTCACGTCCGCGACGCACGCGGAGAGGAGCATGTACAGCACCGCCATCTTCCGGTAGTCCTTGGTGCGCGTCGACGCCGCCAATGCCTGGTCGTCGTCGTCGTCGGAGCCGTGGCGGCTCTCCGGTCTGAGCTCCTCGGCCACCGATCCGACGACGCCGCTCTCCAGGCCCATCGCCATCGCGTCCACGGCCTTGGCGAGCGCCAGCTCCTGATCGGATCGCTCGGACCGGGCCTTCTCGTCGTCGTCCTCGTCCTCGAAGACTTTGCGAAGGAACTGCATCCGATCCACGGCAAGAGGACGCACGGTTCAGGATGAATTGTTTTGCATGCCACTAACACGATCGAGGTGAACTGAAGACGAAATCTATGGTGCGTACGGCGCCAATGTGGTGCTTGGGATCAGAGGACGCGGCCGTCTTCTCCACCCCGACCCAGGCCTTGGGGTCGATCTCAAGAAACCTACAAGAAACGCGCATTTGATGGAGAAGAATGCCTGCATTATTTGGGCCGGTGGAATGGAGAGACCATGCAATGCATGATCGATCGTCGTCACCTGAGGACGGGGCGGAGGAGGCCGCGGGACTCGTGGGTCCAGAGGTCGCGGGCGTCGGGTTCGACGGCGGTGGCCGAGTCGGGGTGGGGCTCGTCGTCGAGGCCGTGGGAGCCAAGGAGGACGGTCTGGTGCGTCTGCGCCTGGCGGAGCGCGAGCGCCAGGAGCGCCCCCGCCGCGTACCGCTGCGTCTGGCCCAGCGTCGACGACGTAGCCATCGTCGCAGCACAGCCTGGTTGCCACCGGCCTGATCGCCTGCCGGCGCGTGTGCGGTGGGAGGGAGGACGAACGCGGGGGCGGGGGCCAGGGCCGGGGGTGCGTGAGTGACTGACTGGTGGCTCGGTTCGGCGAGGAGGAGGCGAGGCTGGGCGTCGATCGCTGATCGATCAATCGATCGATCAAAGGAACCGTCGCGGTCGCGGCTCTGCTCGCCCGCCGGCTGGCGCGGGTGCAGTGCGTTTGGGTCGGTACGGACCGAGACGTGCGGTTGGGTTGGGTTGTGGGACGGGGTGGGATGCCCAGATGCAGTGGGCTTTTTGGAGAGGCGCTGGCCGAGAGCACCTGATGCCCACACTTATCTTTGCGCTGTACTCAGCCCACGGTTGAATTGACCCATCATGCTTCCCTGTCCAGCCCAAATCCTCAACCCTGCTGCTATTTTTTTTTATATTTTGCAAACATATTAATTCCGGATGTCGACTTGTACGGACTATAGCAGCGGTTGACTTATGCGTATGGCTATATATCTGTACTCCCAACTTTGGCACTATGCAAAAAGAAAATTCTCCGTTACATCAAACTTACATGTATGAAGTACTAAATGTAGATAAAATCAAAAACTAATTACACAGTTTAGTTAAACTTTACGATACGAATCTTTTGATCCTAATTAGTCAATATTTGAACAATAATTCACGAATACAAACGAAATTGCTACAAGTTTACCGTCACATCAAACACTATGTAAATACCGATTCCAGCCGAACTAAACATGGCCTTGAAAGTTTCAAACGGGTCACTTTCTCACCAACCACAAGCAAAGCTTGCCGCGGCCGCCCCGCCACCACCTACCACACATCTCTCTGGCCTGTCCAGATGGGCATGGGTCGATCGTGAGCCGCGACAATCAAGAGAGTCAGAATCAGCAGTTAGCGGTCGACATATGAGCCTGTTTCTTAGTTGGTTTCAGACAGAGCTTATCAATCAACCAATAGTATTTTTCACTCACAACGAATCAGCATCAATCGAGCTTATCAACCTAGAAACCAACCAGCTGAACAGGCTAATGGACTGAAAACGTTGGAACTTGGAATTGGCCATGCTTGACTGGGAATGGAAATATGGAACGAATGAATTGATCGAGCGACAGGTAAACACAACAGCAACGTGTACACCCACAACGTGTACACCCATTTCCAAATCATGTATGCACTAGCCACTAGGCGAAGTTTGTGCACTGTTGTCCTATAGGTCTTCTATTAATAGTAGTAAGCCCTAAGGTATTACTGAGGCGCTGTTTGATCTCCTAAGAAAAATAAGAATCAAGGCTTGTTTAGCTGCAGTCATATTAACTTTAATTCACGTATGTTAGAATGGACTGAAGTAGATATAAGTATAGCAAAAAGAAGATCAAAAATAGAAAAATGAGAATGAGATCTAAACACGTAGATTCGAAAAATGAGATTCTATCAGAATCCAACTATCTATGCAAAACCTACTACTCCCTCCATACTTAAAAATAAAGTTGTTTTGGATAAGACTTGGGTCAAATATTGAAAATATAAATCATGAATAACTTTTAAGTTGTTGAGTTTGGAAATGTGAAAACCATATGTATAGATTTGTCTTGAAAAATACTTTCACAAAATTTACATATATCACTTTTTGATAAATATCTTTATAAAAATAAGTAGTCAAAGTTATGCTTTGGAGACCGTGTCGCTGTCAAAACGACTTCATTTTTTAGTATGGAGGAATATTTTGGAGAGTTTTACTATGTAAAAACAATAATCACTATAAGGATAACATCCAAATACCCCTTTGTTTTTTTTATTATACATTCACACTATTTAGAATCAAGATTCTCACTATGAATATGAAAATAAGATCTAAACAGTCTTGAATTTTTCACCTTTTTCTACCGGCTTAAGTTTATTGTCCGACCAAACTACTTCTACTAAGTACCTTCTGATATGGCTGATTCTGTCTCTATATTGTTCGAGCTAGCTCCATGACTTCTTGTTTGGGCAAGCTCTCGTTCAATTTCTTTTTCTTTGATCGAGCGTAAAATTACTTTCGCATCGGAGAAGCAGCAGCTATCGATCTCCCTTTACAGATGGATGGATAAATGTTTAGATTTCGATGATCATTTTTTACGAGGAGTTGGACTTGCCACTAGACGCTGTTGTGCCATGGTCTGTAGCTCTTTTATAGTTTTATTGACAATAAAGAAAAGAGCCATGGATTTTTTTTCCCATTCAAACAACCACCGTCGCTTGTTACGTCATCGAAATGATGTATGGTGTCTAAACATAAACGTGGTGTAAAAGAAACTACATATTGACACAAAACACAGCGTATGAATGTATGATAGAATCATCAGTCAAAACCCATTCTTTAGCGAAAAAACTCCATGGCCAGTTGGTCGGCCGTTAGCTCCCTCTTTGTAATATTCTTTCGCTAAAACTCCTGCAGGCCAGCAGGCCGCAGGCCTGTGCATCGTGCAAACGCGCCATGCCGGCGCGCGCTTATGGCCGGGTTTCGTCATTTCGTGCATGGCGGTGGCGGCGACGTGCCGCCTAGGCCTAGCAGCCCAAATGTCTGAAAATCCCCCCTGCGCTGCGCGTGCGTTCTCTCCTTCCTGACCTGACGGCCTCGCAGCATGGCTTATAAGCCATGGTTTATCAGCCAACGAACAGTATTTTTCTCTCATACCAAATCAGCCAACAGTACTTTCAGTCATGGCTTATAAGCCAAATCAACACAAACGAACAGGGCGCTGGTTAGCAGTACTGTCCCTGCATCACACCGTGACCCACAGTGGCGGACCGGGCCGAAAATATGAGCTAGGGCGGATCACTATGTACAGATACAAAACTTCACTGATATACCGGTCTAAATATGTCTCTCTCTCTCTCTATATATATATATATATATTGAAATATCACGTAACAATTATATTCTAATATGTAATTCAACAAACAAAAGGCACAGAAGAAGTTTGAACATGATTACCTTTCACATGAAGATTTTTTTTCCATAGTCGAGTCCAGATAATTTACCATACAACAAATGATCAAAAGAAAAAAGCATAAACAACCTGCAATTAAAATAAATTTATTGATGAGTAAGTGACATGTGAGGGAATATGTAAAAAAATGTCAAACATTGTAGGAAACATACCACTTGCGGAATTTGTACTAGGAAAAAAGCTTTTCATATCTACAAAACCAATTAACAATTCAATTGATTTCATTAATCAGAGATCAATCTCTATCTATTTAATTGACAAACAATTTACAATGGATTAATGGCAGTACCTAATTTCTTATACCGCTTCTGGCTCAATGGAGTTGGAGCTGCCGGCCTCCTGGCCGTGCTAGACGCATCGCCGGCTCCAGCTTCATCTCCTCCCCCATCCATCCGTTGCTGGCCTGCCGCCTGCCGCCCTAGCTCTGCTCGACGCCTCGGCCCTCGGCCGCCGGGCGCAGCCGCGCGTAGGGCCACCCACCACCGCTCGCTGGCATAGGGGAGGCAGGGAGTGGGGCCACCCGCCACCAGCCGGCCCGAAGCGCCGTCGCCGTGAGTTGGAGTTGGAGCGCCGCCGCCCGTTGAGTGCCCAAGCTGGAGAAAATTACATATTTGGAACTCCAAACATCGACTTCATAAAAAAATAGGTAAACAAACGTTATACACTTATACACTTGTTTTCGTTGCCATTTGTTGTATTTCATCTCTTTTTTATTCCAAATATGTGTATTTTCTTTCCGAGCAGACCTTTTGCCCTTCTGTCCAAGGATTGCATGGAGCCCGACGTATCGTTTTCATCCGTTGTTTCGTCTGCACGCCGCCGCCGCCGGATCCTGAAGGGCCGCCGGTTAGTGCGAAATGCCAACGGGATGAGCCCATGGAGGACTTCGTGGACAGCTTGCTGGTGCCGTCGTCGCTGTTGTCCAATCGACGCCGCCGGCGCCCTTAGAGAAAGGGGCGGTGGCAATCAGGTGGCCTAAATTCGGGTCCAGCCTGGTCAACGCCGGCACCGGCGGTGGGGATGCCTCCAGCGGCACGAAGCTGGACTCCACGGACGCGACCGAGCTATCAACCTCCTCTGCAGCCGTGTCCTGCTTTCCCTTGGGCTCGTCAGCGGCAGGACCGTGACGACGCTTCTGAAGCTGCGCCGCCAAGTCCTCACCCGCGCTAGCTCCAGTGCCGGTACCGGCCCCAGGGCTCGCCGGACTGCCAGAGACCCCTCCTGGTGCTGCTCGCGCGGGATACGGTGCCATCGGTGTAGCTCGCAGCCCTTGGTGACCGGTTCCGGTCGTGTCTGCGGCTCCGGCGCAGCCACCGGCGACTCGCCCATAGACTCGCCGACGCTGTTGGCGCTGGAATCCATGCCGCCCGCCACCAGAATTGACGTCGGAGGCATTGCGGCTTGAGAAGCCGATGGGATGAGTTGCGGCATCGGAGGACGGGAGGCACGAGTCCTTGGGATCGGCGGCAAGTCGAAGTCCTCATGGGCGGCGCGTAGAGGAAGGGATCGGGCGGGCGGGCGGGCGGCGCGCAGGTGAAACGACGGATGAAATCCTTCGACAGAAGGGCAAAAGGGTCCGCTCGTGGAGATGAAATACACCAAATGGGCATGGAAATCAAATGTGCGACGTTTGCACATCTATTTTTGTGAAGTCGATGTTTGGAGTCCTAAATCTGTGAAACGTATTATTTGGTATACTAGTTAAATGCCTATGCATTATAATGGGTACACATAATATCACGATAACATATGTATGAACGCATGTTATATTGTATCTGTAATCGATGTTTTACAAGTTACAATACACGAGTATTCATCTTAATCATAATAAGTTTGTGTTTTACTATATATGTTTTACAATATATTATACAATTAAGAATCTAATCTCTCAATGTTTCGACCAAGAGAACGTGCTTTGCACGAACACCAAGCTACAACTGGTCATCAATCAAAGATAATCCAGAAGATTTTCAAGTCCAATTTGCGGTATCTAACTTCTTGCAACTGAAGCATGTAGATAGTTGAAGTTATAGTTAGAAGTATCATGCACATAAGTTGTTTGTTAATTTTTAAAGTTAAAGTACTATTGATATATCTTGAAAAAATATGTATCGACGTGTAATAAGTACCTCTTTTATAGAGTTAGAACCTCTATATACAATATTCTTTGTGAATATATCCTTTGTCGGTCTCTTCTTCCCCTTCCCTTTCTCTTTTCCTTTGTTCACGTCCTTCTCAGCAGCCGGCACAGCCAAGATCCTAATGTTCGATCTTGCTGTAGCTCTTGATAGCGCCACATACAATTGGCCATGCGAGAACACCGGTTTCGGCAAGTATACCCCGATGTTAGGGATAGTCTGCCCCTGTGCCTTGTTAATGGTCATTGCGAAGCCGAGCCGAATAGGGAACTGCTTTCGCTTAAATTGGAAAGGGAACATCTTATCGTCCGATGGGCATAAGGGTATTTGTGGGGGGTACGACCCCGGATACCCACGGCAGACCACATGGGCTGCGCCCTAGGGGCGGCCTAGCCCATAAGATGAAGCCATGTGGAGGCATGGCGCTGCTCGGCGCATCCCACAAGACACCAGGAAGATATTTTAAAGATACTACGAGATCTGTTAGTATACGTATAATTCCATGATTCATGTAATCTGTTATTACTTTTTGGTTATCTTCTAGATTTAACCGACTTGTAACTCTACCCCGGACTATATAAGGCGGACAGGGACCCCCTCTAAACACACGCAATATCATACGATAGCCAATATAATCCAACAGACCACATGAATAGGGTATTACATCATACTAACGGCCTGAACCTATCTAACTCGTGTGTCTCTGTTGCATTCTTGTTCTCGATTACACGCATCTCTGTCGATCAATCTACCTTCGTGGGATACTCCTCGGAGGACTGTCGACGATATTATGTCGATAGTTGGCGCGCCAGGTAGGGGTGGGCGTGCTGTTTCCATGTCGAATAAGATGGTACGTTTTGCAGGCACTTCGTCCCTCCCACAGCCCGACCAGATCTTCACGGTTGGATCAATCTCGTGGATCATCAACACTGACGGAGTCGAGAGCTCATCGAGCGGGTGCAGATCAATACTGCGCCGATCACCCCAACACCTGTGACTGCAGATCCGATCTCAGAACCGCCTCCGAGGTCGTCTTCGCCGACAATTCGACCGCCCGCTCCCCTGTTACTAGAGGAGGCAAATCAACAACAACGATCTAATCGCATCCATCGATCAGGTTGGCTAGAAGCTCGCCGATTGCCTCTCCATCACAGAATCGGCCCTGACCACTCTGGTCCAGCGCCGACCACCCTCCGGTTTAGATCTATCGGAGGCTGCTCGGGAAACTCCAGGGGTTATGGCCTTACCCTTCAGGCTCACCAGCGTCGCCGCCGCCTATCAAGATGTCCGAAGGGGCAAATTCGCCGACCAGGTGGGAGATATCCATTCTCTCGCCGACTAGATTGCCGACCAGCTCCCGCCGGCTGTCAACATGCTACACGTCGGTCGATGCCCCGGAGCATCCCTCCAAACCATCTTGGAGGAGAATCTAGACTCCGAGTCCTAGGGCTCTACGGAGACTATCATTGAAACCACCACCGAACAACCTCCTTTCCCTCCCTTCCATGGAGGCGTAATCTTCAACGTCAGCGTCGATAACCTCCCATGGGAAGGGGAAATTGAGGAAGATCGCGCCACCCACGTCAATAGGAACATCAACCGTGCGTAGCGCCGAGCAAATGAGGCCGCCCTTGTGCTAGCCGAGGCCCAGCTCGACTCATAAGGAAGGCCACGCCAACTCCAATGCAACCTCGACGACGAATTTGTCCATGTTGATGGCCATGACATATACAAGACCCCAAGCGCCAACTTGGCCATGGCCACCAACGAGCTCGCCTGGCTCCCACAAACACCGGAGGTCGCCAAGGTTGACGCCATTCTTAAAGCGGTGCACTGCCAGGTCAACAAGATCCGCCAGGATTAGAGACCTTCATACTCCACAAGCTCGATTCACCGATGAGCCATGCCAAGATCTGATCGCCGCCTAAGTCGTTTCACCGACCAGCACCGCGACGACAAACAACCCCTCTAGGGAAGCTAGGGGCAACCGCATCGAACACCCTCGCCAACACGACCAGGAGGTCGACCAGGACGTTTGAGCGCACCTCAACAATCTCCGAGACACGCGATGACGTATCGACGAGCGCTGTTTCGGTCACCATGAAGAAGTACGCCACCGTGAAGAGTACGAGCAAGAGTTTGGTAATCCGGACTCAGCCCTCCAGCCACTCAATGCCACAGATCACGATAGCGAAGATCCCGAAGGGCCCAAAGCATTGACAAGGGCACTCCGGACACTCTAGTGGCCCCGTGGTTTCAAAATCACTGGGGTCGAGCCCTATGAAGGATGGATGAACCCCACACAGTGGCTACAAGCTTATGCCACCGTTGTGCGCGCCGCCGAGGGAGATACCAGTGTCATGGTGAACTATCTTCCTATCATGCTCATGCCAACCCGATGAACTGGTTCACAAGCTTGGCCCCGGACTCCATTGGATCCTAGGAAGAGCTGAAGAAGGTTTTCACCGACAACTACATGGCTACGTGTACTCGGTCGGGCACCACGCACGATCTAAACCGCATCTACCAAAAGCCATCCGAGCTCCTCCGTAGCTACATCAAACACTTTTTTGAGATGAGGAATTCTATTCCTAACATCACGGAAGCAGAGGTCATCACCGCCTTCGTCCGAGGACTCCATCACCATGACCTCCGCTCCAAGTTCAACCGCAAGCCACCAATGGGGATTGGCGATATGATTACGACCGCCAACCAGTACGCCGATGCCGAAGAAGCAGAAGTACACTTCAATGAGGACACAGGCACTCATCGCCCAACTCACCACAGTGACGAGCGACCCGATGACCGATGCCATAGCGACCACTGCTACGATGACCGCAGTCACCATCAGGACAGTGGCTGTGATCGTCCAGAAGGATCTAAATCCGGTCAATATCGCCGCCGCCGACTGGACCACATCATCACCACCGTTGACAAACCTTGCACCAAGCGCAACTACGATGAGTAGTATAAGAATATCCTTGAAGGCCCATGCCATTTTCATAAAAACGCCAAGCATAAGGTGAAGGACTGCCTCGGCTTGGCTAAGGAGTTCTAGGTCAAAAAGCCGGACGACGACAACAACGATGAAGCTGGAGGCCGCCGACCACCTGGGGGCAACAACAACGCCTTCCAAGATCACGACAAAGTGGTTGCCACCATCTTCGAGGGCCTCGCCCCCGCCGAGAATAGAAGAGATCGGAAGCTCACCGCCCATCGAGTGCTCACCGTCAACGCGGAAGTCGCCATCGCCAACCCCAGCTATCGCCCCTGGTTTGAGTCCCCATCACCTTTAGTAGGGCCGACCAGTGGGCAGACATCCCTTACACAGGGTGTTTCCCCCTCGTCCTCGATGCAACTGTCTAGAAAGTGCTTTTTAGAAAAGTGCTCGTCGACGTCGGGAGCGCTTTGAACCTCCTCTTCGCCAGAGCCCTAAAGGAGCTGGGCCTCGGGATAGGAGATCTCACACCCTCTGACTCCTCCTTCTAGGGTGTGGTACCTAGTAGGGCATCCAAACTGCTTGGAGAGATCACCCTACCAGTATAGTTTGACACGGCTAGAAACTACCGCGTCGAACACCTCAACTTCTACGTCGCCGACTTCAACACTGCCTACCACACCATACTTGGTCGGCTAGCTCTGACCAAGTTCATGGCCGTACCACACTATGCCTACCTGGGCTGAAGATGCCTTCGCTGCAGGAGTCCTGGCCCTACGGGCCAACCTCTCCATCGCCTACGCCTGCGAGACAGAGTCTCGCCCTCGCTGAAGCCACCAACCTCTCCATCCAGATGGCCAGTGTGGTCACTAACGCCAAGACGGTGCCCGTCAATGACCTAGAGATCCCATCGCTGGAGCCTCATCACGCCTCCGCCAAGTCCAAAGAAACCAAGGAGGTCGGCCTCAGCCTTGACAACCCCTCCAAGACCGTGAAGATTGGGGCTCATCTCAACCCCAAATAGGAAAGCGTGCTCGTCTCCTTCCTATGTGCCAATGCCGACGTGTTTGCTTGGAAACCTACAGACATGCCGGGGGTACCATGGGAGAAGATCGAGCACTCCTTGAATGTCTTGCCGACCACCAAACCGATCAAGCAGAAACTTCGACGATTTGC